AGAGAGAGAGAGAGAGAGAGAGAGAGAGAGAGAGAGAGAGAGAGAGAGAGAGCTGCAGCATGCAACATGTCAGTGGCGGGGAGCAAGAGGGCAGGTGCTGACCTCCAACAAAAAGAAGCAGTAATTTTATCGGAATATAAGAGTTTTTTCTTTTCGAAATCCGAATAGAAAGGGTACTGGTTGTATTCGAATACAACCTGTGCGTTTTCTATTCGAGGAAACTGTGCTATTTGAGGAAAGTGCACTCGCACTGTTTCAATTCCGAAAAAGGCTCAAGGACCTCGGCCTCCTTCAGCCTCCTATGCACAGCTACCGGTCCTACGCGGTCCTGGCCCTTGCAAGGCCCCAAAACCTCAAAATGCCCACCCTCCCGACGACCACCGACGTTGAAATTTGTTTGACGTTGAACGTTGAAATGTCTCAGGGGGGGAAAACGCAACCCTGACGGGCTGCAAACATAGTAGAGGCAACACGACTGCACAACGCCAAAAACGACTGCAAGGAACGACATGGCACGCACCGCGACAGCCGTGTAGTGAAGCACATGGCAACACAAGCAAGGCAACAACACTACAGGGGACGATAGGGCGGGTGAACCAGCAGCTGGGTAACCGTGGAGCGGAGCACAAGGCAACCAAACGGCACACAAGTGGCAAGCACGGAAGGCACGACCAACGGATGAGCAGCACGGCAGCGGAGCAGCGAAGCGCAAGGCAACACCAACAACACGGCCACACCACACAACGAACACATCAACCTGCAAAGAACCACACGCGAAGCAAGCGGGACAGGCAGCAAGGCAGAGGCAGAGCGCAGACGGGGACGTCCACACATCCAACACGGAGCAAAGCAGCACATGACCTACTCACATCACGATTGAACCCCGCAGGCCGTTGGTTCTCACCACCCACTGAGCCAGGGTGTCACACCGACGAGCATCCGTCATCACCTACAGGAAACACAGACATCCCAAACCGAGCAACATAGACATCACCTACAGGACATAGACAAGAGGCCCATCGCATAGTTCAAAATCAAACCCATCCCGCAACAAATCCAGCAAAAGGCCCTTAATCCTCTCAGCCCAAGGAATGTGTCCTTTCACGATTAGAGCCAGCGTCAAATATCGAAAAAAACCATTGAACTCCTTACATCTTAAGAAGGCAGCGGCGGAAGGCAAAGAAGAAGAATCTCGATAAGATCTACAAAAATCTGCCCACGACCAGAGACTTGCCACGTTCGGGAGGTCCCCTCATAACTCTACTGATCTGGAATCGGCATTCCGGCCCAGATGTCTCCTTCCCCTGATGCTCAGTTTCCCGTTCGTAGATCGAGCAATCATCTTCAGACAACGCCACCTCCGCCCTTTCTTTCCCCTTACCTGTGTCGAACGCTTTACTAGCCCTGAATTCCACCAACTCATCAATCATCTGATCCACCCTACCCAACTTAATGCCCACATCCTTGCACAGTGTCTCTAACCCGCACTTCCTCATCATACGAAGTTGCTTTCTCTGGTCTTCTATGAAAGCAAATCAATCGTTCACATTAGTCTCCTTATCACTTTCCTCTGTCCTAGCACTTCTTCCTGGCGCCGCCTCCTTGCCCTTACGCGTTGATCGTAGCGCTACTTCCTCCAACCGCTCCTTCAGATTAGTTCCCCCCGTCACTGGCTCATCCTCCTTCTCCTTCGCAGACAGCTCACTTAGCTTGTCTTGAAGACTCTTCACCTGCTTCTCTGCCTCCATGCGCTTAAGCTCAGCTTCAACGCGCTTCATCTTAAGCACCTCAACCTCCGTATTAGATAACTTACGCAAGCTTTGTAGCTTCTTGTATTCATCCTTCTACCTATCGCTCTCCCGGATATTATCGGTCCAACGATGTTTCAGAGTTGCACGGGTGGAGCACTGCCCCGTTTATTGCGTGGCCTGAGAGCTTCATTCTTCCACAACACAACCTCGTCCATCGCTCGCTCAATCTTACCACGCAACACCTCGATCTCCCTTTTCATCCCAACAATTTCCTACTCAAAATTAATCTTAACCAACGCCGTTTCCCGTAGCTCCCCGATCTCTTGCTTCAACGCAAAGATCTCATCCTCCTGAGCCCGTTTCCAGCCATTTGTTTCCGGAGATCTATAAGCTCCCATTGCAGAAGAATAAACCGATCCTCTTCCTGCGAAGCCTTCGCCCCTTCCAGCTTCAATCTGAGCATTTCATTCTCCGCCTTGAGAATCGCTAACTCATCCTTCTTGACGCCAACACTCCCCACCTCCGTCCCTCCCTCCTTAACGGGACATAACTGCGGCATCCTCATCTCCAATCGTTTACCCATCTCTTGTTCAAACGACTCACGCTCTCTTCCATTCAAGTTTCTGATCCTCTTCCTCCTTACGTAGTCTGGTTCTCTCCTCCTCTTCTTTTCGCTTCGCTTCCTTCTGCTGATCTTCCAAATATTTATTATAACAAATATCCAAACGTTCTTGATTGGGTCCCCTAGATCTTGCTGATGGTTGATACCCAGAGCCAGATCCAGAAGAGCCTCTCCTTCATGCGAACTGGACAACGGCAAAGACGAATTAAAGGTCGCTGAAGATGACGATGGCGTAGGCAGAGTCAGCATAGGAGCACCAATCGGTACTGCATTCGCTCCCGTAACCGGAGGGCGAAACTGACGAGCCCGCTGCGGACAATCACGCACCCAATGACTCAACGAGCCACATTCATAGCACCCCCGATTCATCGGCACTCCTGCCATATCTCCCAAAACAAGCTCACACAAAGAATCAAAGAATCAAGAAACAAAACAAAACAACAAAACCATAGGTAAATCCAATACTCATCCAAGGCTAACACGTGTCACACATACGTAGTCTGGTTGCTACGACGGTTCCAACACAGAGATGATGGTGAGAGTTAATCACGATCGAATATCGCCCATAGATAAGCATAGACAACCATCGGTCCACAAGGACCTACATCATAACACAATCAATGGCCAACGACACATGCAGACCCCATGAAACTGACGGCATGCACCATACATCAAAATCCACGAGACAGACGACAAACAAGACAAGAGATGGAGAAGAAACACAACGACGCACCAGTATCCCGAACGTGACATGTAGCCACATAATTAAGATTTAAACACATGGCTATGGAGCCTGGACCGAAAACGGGCAGCATGCCCATAGAGCGAAAAGTCGCCAAGCTGATCGGCGGATGACCCGACTAGTTTCGTCCGATCGCCGTATCGGAGCTCGTCAGGGGTCTGTGTCACATTGAAACTGACGCGTCAACGAACCACTACATAGCAAGCCGCGGAAATAGACGAGCACTAGGACAGACCGCAACCAACAGTAGCGGCCAAAAAGGGAAGGGCCTAGAAGCGGACCCGGGGCACAAGCCCAATTCCGCAACGGGCCAAACCAGACCTAAGGTAAGTTCTAGGAGAAAACAACGGCATTGGACCGGTCCTCGTAATCCGCCCAAAAACAGTGGCCCCGGCTCGACGGTGCCCCCGACACAAAAACCAACCGCTTTTCTCATCATACGTGCTCCAAGAAAGAAATCCTAAGCTCCGATTCATCCAGTCCACCACAGGGTTGAAGAAGGGTGATGGCTTGCTAACGGCTGCCTTTGATGTTAAGGAAATGTTCTGCAATCTTCTGCACGATTCTATTATGAGGACGATGGACTGGATTATCGATTTTTGGAAGATGCGGGGGATCAAGGGAGTGTGTGTCAGAAAGCACGGGAAAGGGGCTATGCTGTTAAAAGGGAAGGCGGCAGAAGGATGGCAGTTTGTCGACTTTGACATCCTGCGGTGTTTTTTGCTATTTGATCTGAAGAATACATACACATCTGCTTGTGGTCGGATCTTTCGGCAGAAGGTGGGTATTCCTATGGGGAAGCCTTCGAGCCCTGTTGTCGCTTGCTTATTATGTGTTTTCTCCGAATTCTCCTTCCTCCTATCCTTGGGGCATGATCGGTGTTTGGTGAAAGGTGTGAGACTGATCGATGATGTATCAGTATTCATCAAGTACGTGAAGGGGGACGTTGCTTCGAAGATGAAGGCAAAAGCCATTTTGAGTAAGTTCGAACGGTGCTATGACAGGAACTTGACATTGGAATGTACACATCGAGCGAGAATCTGGAGTTTCCTTGGTTGCACCGTCTCTGTCTTTGACTGGCCGATAAGTGTGGAATGTTCTGCGACACACAACAATCAGAAGTGTGTCCTGAAGCAGGGTATCCGTTTTCAAAGCTTGCAGGACAAATGCTCGTATGTGAGCAAACGGCAAAAGTTGGTTGTGGTCGGGTCGTTTCTGCACCAAGCTAAACGGTTTACTAGTTTACGTGGGGCTGAGGCGGCGTTTCTGTTTGCCCTGAAGGTGGAACTTAGGTTGAGGGATTTTGATGATCAGATTTTCGATCAGGCACTTCGTAACTTCTAATAACCCTACTAAAACTTAGTAGGCCGCGGGGTGACTCTCGCTTCTGCGATGGTCCACGTTAGTGTTTTTGCGACTCTCGCTTCTGCGATGGTCCACGTTAGTGTTTTTTGCGACTCTCGCTTCTGCGACGGTCCACGTTAGTGTTTTTTGCATAGCTTAGCGTGAGATGTCCGATGTAAAATTCTGATGCGCGATTATTTTCAGTGAGACGTCCGATGTAAAATTCTGATGCGCCTGACGCGGCGCGCCTGACGCGTTTGTTTTGTTTCGGGCGAGCGTTTCATTTTGTTTTTTGAGTTTTGCTTTCTTTTATCGTTATTTTTGGAAAAGAGGTCGGGCATTCGGATTCTTTAAAGTAGCCTGTAGTGGCCATCGAGTGGGGGTTTCCGAGTTGCGGTGATTTTTGTTTATTGTTTTTAGTTTTCTTTTTTTTTGTCTGACGCGCCTGACACGGCGGGCCTGACACGTTTGTTTTGTCTCTCTCTCTCTCTCTC